CATTCTTCTCTTCTGCATACCCTCCAGCCATTGAACAGTCACTTGCTGAAACTTGTCTTCTGCTGTCATAACAACTGAGTTCTGCATGAATGGTTTGATTAGCTTTCCTGGCAATCTGATCCACTCAGTACACTTATTCAGAAGAACCTATGCTTTTGAGAGACTTAATCATGGTATGTGGGAGTGTAATAGAATAATTGAATCCCTAGACTCTAGAGCTTAAAGAAAAGGAAATTCGAGAAATTACATCATGGAGCACCCATATCATGCCAGGCATTTTGCTGGGCATTTTTTGTGCACTATCCCATTCCGTCTTTATAAACCTGTGAGCTTATTATCAGCTCCACTTTTTAAATGTAACAACAGGCTCAGAGGGATAAACTTGTCCAAGTAGTAAGATTCTTAGTTGTTTGCCTAATCACATCTCTGAGTGTAACAGTGGGATATTATAACCCACCCCACCATTATTTTGACATGATTTCTGTAAATGCTGATTCTAATACATAGTTTGTAGATAAACAGCATGTTTGTGTAAGAATCCTAGGAACTTCCCTAGCCAGTTTTGCTTGGTGGTTAGAGCCCTCGGACTGAAGGGTTGCAGGTTTGATGCAGGTCAAAGGCACATACCTCTGTTGCAGGTTCCATCCCTGGCCCTGGTTGGGACACGTGCGGGAGGCAACCAGTTGATGTGTCTCTCTCACATCCATGTTTCTCTCTCTCTCTGTCTCTCTTCCTGCCTTCCACTCTTTCTAAAAATCAATAGAAAAAAATATCCTCTGGTGAGGATTAACAACAACAGAAAACAAATTCTAGGAACTAACTTCAGAAGATACAGACTCTGACCTTGAGTCATTCCAATTTCAGGACATTTGCTGACCTTGACATAAAACCAGGATGACACAAACCATGAATCATATCAGAGTGTCACTTGACCAGTTTCAAGATCCTATCTGAATAGACTTTGCTGGGCTGCACGTAGAGAATTTTTCAAACTCCTCCCTTTGATCTATTTGTTCTGCTTTCCCTCTCCTTATAAAAACCTCTGCCTGCACTGAGATGTTGAGATGGGCTTTGTGACAATAGTCCTCCATCTCCTCAGGTGACCGGCACTTGAATAAAACCTCTTTCCTTTTTTCACCAGCATCTGTCTAACAAGTTTGGTTTTTGTAGCAGCAGGCAGCCAAACTTGGGTTCCAGTTACAACAGTATTTCTAATTACTTGAGTGAGTATGTGTGTATTCCCATTGCATCTGAGGTCCTTCATGCCTCCTGCCTTTTTCATCTCTTCTTAAGTGGGAAGAGTTAAGTCACCCACTTTTTCCTTGTTGTCTTGTTCTTGTCAGAATGGGGCCTAGGAGTCTTGAGAAAATATTATAGATATTTTAATAAGCTATAACCTATATAATAATAATTATTATTTTGGCATAGATGACAAGGGAGGGAGAAGTAAGACCCCAATAGGCCTTGAGCACATGCAGTACTTATAGATCTTCTGGGGTGGGGAATGTGTTTTGTTATATGAAGGAAATTTTTACCCCTTATTTAAAATATATATATATATATATATATATATATATATATATATATATATATATATATATTTAATAAAATACTAATATTAAACCATGCTGCAAGTGTGCTATTTTATTTATTTATTTATTTTAATCTTTATTGTCATTGTCGAGAGTATTATAGCTATCCCCCTTTCCCCCCTATTACTCCCCCACACCCATCCAGCTGATTCCCATCCTGCCCCATCCCAGGCCTCCACCACCCTATTGTCTGTGTCCATAGGTAACATCTTTGGTTAATCTCTTCCCACCCCTCTTCCCTGCTTCCTTCTGAGATTCCTCAGTCTGTTCCATGTTTACATACCTCTGATTCTTTATTCAACATTTCATGTAATACTGGTTTGGTGATGATGAACTCCTTGAGCTTTTTCTTGTCTGTGAAGCTCTTTTTCTGACCTCAATTCTAAATGATAGTTTTGCTGAGTAGAGTAATCTTGGTTATATTCATCACTTTGAATATTGCTATTCATCATTTTGAATATTTCTTGCCACTCCCTTCTGGCCTGCAAAGTTTCTGTTGAGAAATCAGCTGACAGTCGTAGGTAACAAACTCCCTTGTAGGTAACAAACTGCTTTTCTCTTGCTGCTTTTAAGATCCTCTCTTTGTCTTTAACCTTTGGCATTTTAATTATGATATATCTTAGTGTGGGCCTCTTTGGGTTCCTCTTGTGTGGGACTCTCTGTGCTTCCTGGATTTGTAAGTCTATTTCTTTCACCAGGTAGGGGAACTTTTCTGTCATTATTTCTTCAAATAGGTTTTCAATTTCTTGCTCTCTCTCTCTTCTAATTTCTGGCACCCCCATAATGCTAATGTTGGTACACTTGAAGTTGTCCCAGAGGCTCCTTACACTATCTTCATTTTTTAAAAATCTTTTTGTTTGTTTTGTTAATCCTCACTCAAGGATATTTTTCCATTGATCGTTTAGAGAGAGTTGAAGAAAGAGAAAGACAGAGAGAAACATCGATGTCAGAGAAACACATCAATTGATTGCCTCCTGCATACACCCTGACCAGGGCACTGGAGGAGTCTGCAACCAAGGTATGTGCCCTTGACTGGAATCAAACCTGGGACCTTTTGGTCTTCAGGCTGACGCTCTATTCACTGAGCCAAACTGGTTAGGGCTCTTCATATCTTTTTATTCTTTTTTCTTTCTGCTCTTCTGAATGGGTGTTTTTTGCTTCCTCATATTCCAAATCATTGATTTGATTCTCAGAATCCTCTACTCTATTGTTGAAACCTTGGAAATTATTCTTTATTTCAGTTAGTGTGTTTAATTTCTGACTGGTCCTTTTCCATGTCTTTGGCATTCTCACTAAGATACTTGAAAGTCTCACTAAATCCCTTGATGCTCTTATATAGATCCTTGAGTAACCTTATAACCATGGTTTGAACTCTGTATCTAGTAGTTTGCTTGCTTCCATTTCTTTCACTTGTGACATATTTCTTTGTCTCCGCATTTTGGCTATTTCCCTATGCTTTGATTCTATGTATTAAGTAGAGCTGCTATGTCTCATAGAATTGGTAGAGTGGCCTTATGTAGTAAGTGTCCTGTAGGACTCAGTGGCAACCAATTTATGTGTCTCAACCTCCTCAGTCATCTGAGCTGGGCACTCTAGGTGCACCCCTATGTGGGCTGTGTGCACAGTCTTGTAATTGAGCCTTGATTGTTGTTGCTGTCACTTGGAGGAATTGACCTCCAGGCAAATTGGCTGTGAGGACCAGTTGTGACTATAGTGGGAGAGCTGCTGTGCAGGAAAAACCCCTATGGAGTAGACCAGGGGTGGGCAAACTTTTTGACTCAAGGGCCACAATGGGTTCTTAAACTGGACCGGAGGGCCGGAACAAAAGCATGGATGGAGTGTTTGTGTGAACTAATATAAATTCAAAGTAAACATCATTACATAAAAGGGTACGGTCTTTTTTTTTTTTTAGTTTTATTCATTTCAAATGGGCCGGATCCGGCCCGCAGGCCGTAGTTTGCCCACGGCTGGAGTAGACCTTGCTTCAGTGGGGCTTTGGTGCTCATTGAGTCTGCCCCTTGAGTGTGTAGCTTGTGGATGTGTACAGTTGTAATCTGCTATGATTTGAAGCTGTCCACCAGGTGCACTGGCTCTTTTTGGTCTCTAGAGAGGTGCAAAATCAGCCACTGCCTGAGGTCACCTTGCAAAAGCTACAGAGAAATCTGAAGAAGGATGCTATTTCTCTTGGGCTAGGAAGTGCCCAGGTGAGGCCCAGCTGTGAAGCAGGGCACAGGCTGGTGCTAGTGCTGGGTTTTGGGCCTTTTATTGATAGGTTTGGGGCATGCTGACATCAGTTGCAGCTTGTTTGAGAGATTTTAGGAAGTCTAAAGTCTGAGCCAGGATAGGCCATTCACATGGAAAAGCTGCTACAAACAGCTTGGGTGGGGCAGGGTCTCAGGGAATCACCAGGGTGGAGCAAACAGTGTGAGCCACTCTGATGGAGACTCAATTTCACTGCTGCATATGGCCCCTGTCAGTTAACTCTGTGGCAGGGGAGGTCCCAGCACAGGAACAATGACCCCTGCATCTGTGAGAAAGCTGTACATGAGTTCCTGCCCCATGCCAGACAATCTAGGTCCTCCCCATATGTGTCTGGGTCCCTCAAAGCTGCCCAGCATAGGAGCTCAGAGGAATGGAGTCTGAGTAAGTTCATGCTCCGGCTCTTTAGAAGAAACACCTGGGACTCTAGCAGCCTCTGTGTTACTCAGCTACAATCCCCACTGGTGTTTACAGCTCTTAGTTACGGGAACTTCTCTTCCTAGCTGTGGAACCATGGGCTGGAGGTCTGGTGTGAGGCTGGGACCCCTTGCTCTTCACAGGCAGTCTCCGTAGAGATGATCTTCCTCCTGATGAAAAAAACAGCCCATGTGGGTGTCTGACCAGCCTGTTTCGCAACTCTGCCCCTCCTACCAGTCTCAATGTCCTTTCTTCTTTACTTCTCTAGTGGCAGACACTCTAACCACTGAGCATAGTGGCTAGGGCTAGAGTTCTTTTCTTGCTTTTTCTAGTACATGGGAAAAAATGGTTCTCCCTGCCAAATTTGAATGAGTTCTTTCCAAAAAGGCTCTAATTTTTTTCCAATGATCAAGAATAATGCCTTACATTTGGAAAAGTGTTTTGCGGTTTCCAAAGCATTCCCAGGTAATTGTTATTGAACCTTCACATTGACCTTGTCAGGCAGACAGAGCAGATATTTCTGTCCTTATATTACATAGGAAGAAATTTGAAGCCCAAGAAGTGAAGGGAGGAGGAGTTGGCTAACTTCACACAGCCATGACTAGAACCTAGGCCTTAGCTTTTCTTTCTAGAGCATACTGCCTTTTTGTTTTTGTTTTTGTTAGCCCCAAATTAGGGATAATCATATTTGCATTTGGATCAGTAACAGTGTTGCATACTTCTTTCTTATAGGTCCAGTTTTCTTCTGACTGCCACATATGGACTCCCAAAAATCTCCGAAGGAAACTGTCCTCATTACAGGAGGAGGTGGCTATTTTGGTTTCCGGTCAGTGCATCTGTAAAATATGTCTATGAATTATTTTACTGGTGGTTGCTGATTAAAAAAGTATAGCTTTCAACTCTGACATTAATACAGTATATACTTTTACTTGTTTGTATAGTGTTAAGCCAGGAATGAACTATTTTGCCCACTGCTCAGATACTAAAATTGAGAGCTACAGGTATATTCCATGTTAAGAAAAGTTCTTTTATTTTTTTATTTAAATATTTATTGCTGAAAGTATTACATATGTCCCCTTTTCCCCCCCATTGACCCATTTTGGCCCACCCTTGGCTCCCACCCCAGCCCTTCACCACCCTATTGTCTGTGTCCATGGGTTATGCATATATGCATACAAGTTCCTTGGTTGATCCCTTCCCACCCACCCACCCACCCACCCACCTCTGCCTTCCCTCTGAAATGCCACACTCTGTTCCATGCTTCTATGTCTCTGGATCTATTTTGTTCATCAGTTTATTTTGTTCATTAGATTCTACATATGAGTGAGGTCATGTGATACTTGTCTTTCTCTGACTGATTTCATTTAGCACAATATTCTCTAGGTTCCTTCATGCTGTCTCAAAGGATAAGAGATCCTTCTTTTTCACTGCTGCATAGTATTATTCCATGGTGTAAATGTACAACTTTTTTAAGCACTCATGTACTGATGGATGCTTGGGCTGTTTCCAGATCTTAGCTATTGTAATTGTGCTGCTACGAACATAGGGATGCATACATTCTTTCTGATTGGTGTTTCAGGTCTCCTAGGACATATTCCTGGAAGTGGGATCACTGGGTCAAATGGCAGTTCCATATTTAATTTTTTGAGGAAACTCCATACTGTTTTCCATAATGGTTGTACCAGTCTGAATCCCCACCAATAGTGTACTAGGGTTCCCTTTTGTCCACATTCTCGCTAGCATTGTCCTTTGTTGATTTATTGATGGTAGCCACTCTGACAGGTGTGAGATGATATCTGTCATTTTAATTTGCATCTCTCTGATGATCAGTGACTTTGAGCATATTTTCATATGTCTCTTGGCCATCTGTATGTCTGCTTTAGAGAAGTATCTATTTAGGTCTTTTGCCCATTTTTTAATTGAATTGTTTGTCTTCCTTTTGTTAAGTTGTCTGAGTTTCTTATATATTTTGAATATTAACTCTTTATTAGATGTATCATTGCCAGATATGTTCTCCCGTGCAGTGGGATCCCTTCCCTTTTTGTTTTATTGATGGTTTCTTTTGCTGTTCAGAAGCTTTTTATGTTCATGTAGTTCCATTTGTTTATTTTCTCCTTAGTTTCCTTTGCCATAGGAGATATATCTATAAACATATTGAAATGAAAGATGTCTGAGATTGTGCTGCCTATGGTTTTTTCCTAAGATTTTTATGGTTTCATGGCTTACATTTAAGTCTTTTATCCATTTTGAGTTTATTTTTGTGTATGGTGTAAGTTGGTTGTCATTTTTTTTTTTTTGCGTATATCTGTTCAATTTTCCCAACACCATTTATTGAAGAGATTGTCTTGACTCCATTGTATGCTCTTGCCTCTTTTCTAAAATATTGAGTGTAATGGCTTGGGTCAATTTCTGGGTTCTCTGTTCTGTTCCATTGGTCTATATGCCTGTTTTTGTGCCAGTACTAGGCTGTTTAGATTACAGTGGCTTTGTAGCATAAATTGATATCTGGTAATATGATCCCTCCAACTTTGTTCTTTTCTCAAGATTGCTGTGGCTATTTCGATCTTTTTTGGTTTCATATACATTTTTGGAGTATTTGTTCTAGATTTGTGAAATGTGCTGTTGGTAGTTTAATAGGGATTGCATTGAATCTGTAAATTGCTTTGAGTAGTATGGACATTTTAGTGATGTTAATTCTACCAATCCATGAACACAATATATTCTTCCATTGTTTATATCTTCCTCTATCTCTTTTTTCAATGTCTTATAGTTTTCTGAGTACAAGTTTGTTTCTAAGTATCTTAAATTTTTTGTTGCAGTGGTAAATGGGATTGTTTGTTTAGTTTCTTTTTCTGAGAATTCATTATTGGTGTATTAAAATGCCATTGATTTTGAGGTGTTGATTTTGTATCCTGCTATTGCCAAATTCATTTATTAAATCTAGTAGTGTTTTGGTGGAGTCTTTATTTTTTTCTATGTGCAGTATCATGTCATCTTCTAATAATGAGAGTTTTACTTCCTCCTCTTGAATTTGGATGCCTTTTATTTCTTCTTCTTGTCTGATCACTGTGGCTAGGACTTCCATTACTATGTTGAATAAGAGTGGGGAAAGCGGACATCCATGTCTTTTCCTCTTCTTAGGGGAAATGGTTTTAGTTTTTGCCCATTGAGTATGATATTGGTTGTAGGTTTGTCATATATGGCCTTTATTATGTTGAGGTATGATACCTCTATTCCCACTTTGCTAAGAGTTTTTATCAAAAATGAGTGTTGAATTTAGTTGAATGCTTTTTCTGTGTCTATTGATATGATCATGTGATTTTTGTCTTTCAGTTTGTGTATGTGATGTATCACATTTATTGATTTGCAAATATTGTGCCAGCTTTGCATCCCTGAAATAAATCCCACTTGGTCATGGTGTATGATCTTTTTAATAAATTGCTGGATCTGATTTGCTAGAATTTTGTTCATCAGGGATATTTGTCTGTAATTCTCTTTCTTTGTGGTGTATTTATCTGGTTTTGGAATTAGGATAATGCTGGACTCATAAAAAGAGCTTGGAAGTGTTCTTGGATCTTTTGAAATAGATTAGGAGTATAGGTGCTAGTTCTGCTTTGGATGTTTGGTAAAACTCCTCTGTGAACCCGTCAGGACCCAGGCTCTTGTTTACTGGGAGTTTTTTGATGACTGCTTCTATTTCATCAGTTGTTATTGGCCTATTCAGGTTTTCTGATTCTTTCTGATTCAGTTTTTGAAGATTGCATTTTTCTAGGAATTTGTCGATTTTATCCACATTGTCCAGCTTGTTGGCATATAGTGGTTCATAGTATTTTCTTATAATCCTTTGCATTTCTGTAGTGTCAGTTGTTAATTACCCATTTCTGTTTCTAATTTTATTTACTTAGATCCTCTCTCTTTGTTTCTTGATGAGTCTGGCTAACAGTTCATCAATTTTGTTTATCTTTTCAAAAAACCAGCTCTTGGTTTCATTGATCTCTTGTATTATTTCTTTGGTCTCTATGTCATTTATTTCTCCTCTAATTTTTATTATTATCATCTTGTTGTTTTCTTTCTAATTCTTTAAATTGTAGGGTTAAATCGTTTATTATTAACTTTTATTTTTGAGGTAGGCCGGTAGTGCTATGAACTTCCCTCTCAGGACTGCTTTCGTTGTGTCCGATAGATTTTGGGTTGTTGTGTGTTCATTTTGATTTGTTTTTGGTAAGTTTTTGATTTCTTTCTTGATCTCATTGGTAACACATTCATTGTTTAATAACATCCTATTTAGCTTCCATGTGTTTGAATGTTTTTGAGTGTTTTTACTATATTTGATTTCTAATTTCATTCCATTGTGATCTGAGAAGATGCTTGATATGATTTCAATCTTCTTGAACTTGTAGAGACTTGTTTTGTGTCCTAACATGTGGTCTATCTTTGAGAATGTTCCATGTACACTTGAGAAGAATGTGTATTCTGCATCTTTGGGGTGAAATGTTCTCTAAATGTCAATTAAACTCATCTGATCCAGTGTGCCATTTAGAATATATGTTTCCTTGTTAATTTTTTGTCTGGAGGATCTATCCAGTTAAGTCAGTGAGGTGTCAAAGTCCCCTACAATGACTGTATTCCTGTCGATCTCTCCTTTAAAGTCCTCTGGAAGTTCTTTTATATATTTAGGTGCTCCTATATTGGGTGCATATATGTTTACCAGGGTTATATCCACTTGTTGGATTGATCCCTTTAGTATTATGTAGTGACCTTTACTGTCTCTTGTGATGGCCTTCATTTTGAAGTCTATGAGTATTGCCACCCCAGCTTTTTTTTTTTTTCATTTCCATTTGTATGAAAAAATTTTTTTCATCCCTTCACTCTCATCCTGTATGAGTCTTTTGTTCTGAGGTGAGTCTCTTATAGACAGCATATAATTGGGTCATGTTGTTGTATTCATTCAGCTACCCTATGTCTTTTGATTGGAGCATTTACTCCTTTTACATTTAAGATTATTATTGATAGATACTTATTTATTGCCATTTTAATTATTTATGCCTATGTTTCTCTGCCTCTCTATTTCTTCTTCTCATTACAGCAGTCCCTTTAGCATTTCTTGCAGTGCTGGTTTAGTGGTCATAAAGTCCTTTAGCTTTTTTTTTTTTTTTTTAAATCTGGGAAGCTCTTTATTTCACCATCTATTTTGAATAATAGCCTTGCTGGATATAGTAATCTTGATTTAAGATCCTTGCTTTTCATTACCTTGAATACTTCATACCATGCCCTTCTGGCCTATAGAATTCTGATGAGAAATCATTTGACAGCCTTATGGGAGGTCCTTTTAGGCAACAAATTGCTTTTCTCTTGCTGTCTTTAAGATTCTCTCTTTGTCTTTAATTTTTGGCATTTTAATTATGATTTGTTTGGGCCTGGGCCTATTTGAGGTCTTATTGTTTGGGACTCTCTGTGCCTCCTGAACTTGTGTGACTTTTTGCTTCACAGGTTAGGGAAGTTTTCTACCATTATTTCTTCAAACACGTTCTCTATCCCTTGCTCCCTTTCTTCCCTTTCTGGCATACCTATTATGTGAATATTGTTACATTTCATGTTGTCCCACAGCTCCCTTAAGCCGTCCTACTGTTTTTTTCTCTTTGGTTCTCTGGTTGAGTGATTTTTTTCTACCCAGTCTTCTAATTCACTGACCTGATCCGTGGCTTCCCCTACTCTGCTGTGTATTCCTTCCAGTGTGTTCTTTGTTAGTGCTATGTCATTCTTCATACTTACTGTATCTTTTCTCATGCTCTTGAGCATCTTTGCCATTATTATTCTTAACTCTATGTCTGAGAAATTTCTTATCTCCATTTCATTTAGCTCTTCTTCTGGAGAATTCTCTTGTTCTTTCATTTGGGGCTTGTTCTTTTGTCTCCCCATTTGGGCTTCCTGTTTGGGTTTGTGTCTGTGTATTAGATTTGCTATGACTCTCAATCTCTAGTGCAGGACAATGTCAGATGCTGTTTGTGACTGGCCCTAAATACCCCGTTTGGAGGTATCAGCAATCCACAGCTTGTGGCTCTCTCTGCTGGGGCTGGGTCCCTTTGGAAAGGACCAAGATGTGCATCAGAGTCTGCTTTTCATATCCCTTGGCCTGGGGTTAGGTCAGGCAAATACTCAAAGCCTCCAGAGACCCACCTCTGCCTGCAATCCCATTGACCCTCAGTCTTGATTAGCCTCAGGCTATCGACCACAACGTGGGGTGAGAGGTCTTCCAATAGGGTGGGGTAACTTCCTTCCCCCCAAGTGAAAACCTCCTGGATAGCAAAGGTCCACTGGAGAAAGATGTCCTTCACAGCGTGAGGGAATGACTCAGCACAGGAAACCAGGGTGGCTGCCCTCTAAGCTCCAACCCCAGAGCCCCCAGTCCTGGCTTCTGCTCACACAGCTCCAATCCACTCTGCCAGAGCCCAAGGTGAGTGGCTGCACATGATATTTTGTGCATTGGCCCTTTAAGAGGGTGCCTGTATTTCCAGCCATCTCTCTGTGGCAGACAGCAACCCAGCTACTTTTCACAGCCAGATGTTATGTTGGCGCCTTTCTCAGTTCTGGGGCTCTGGGCTGGGGAGCCCATCTTGGGGTTTAGACCCCAGAGTTCTCAGTGGGAATCCCCCCACAGCTGAGATAATCCTCCCCTTCCACCCCCACCCCCGGAACTTCAGCTGCTGTCTGTGGGAACTAGTCTAGTTCTTTCATGCCTCTGCACTTACTACCAGTCTCTGTGAGGTCTCCACTCTCTGTCCTTGGTTATAAGGTTCTGTCCAGCTAGTCTTCAGTTGGTTTTTCAGGGTGTTTTTTCTGTATTTTACTAGTAGTTGTATTTTCAGTTTGGTCCTGGGAGAGTGTCAATGTAGCTTCCACGTACTCTGCTGTCAGTTTGGAATCCTCTAAGCACTGTCATCCATATATTGTCCATTTTGTCAAGAAAAATTCTTTATAAAGCCATTAAATTGTGGAAGGGAGATATTCACATCACTAAACAATTTTAAATAATGGCAATTCTTGCCTGGCTGGTATTTCTCAGTGGTTGAGTGTCAACACATGCACCAAAAGGTGGCTGGCTCCATTGCTGGTCAGGGCACATACCTGGGTTTCAGGCTTGATCCCCAGTAGGGGGCACGCAGGAGGCAACCGATCAATGTTTTTCTCTCATCAACGTTTCTATCTCTCTTTCCATTCTCCCTCTCTCTCTCTAAAAATAAATTTAAAAAAATTTTAATAATAGCAGCTCTTTCAGTTTTCATTCATAAATATTCCCAAGAATGGATTGTAGGTCCTAGAACACGGAGGGGTGGGGGGCAGGGACGTAGCATTTAGATGCCACCAACTCATTATAATTTAAGTAGATGTGAGTATTCTCAATTTTTTAATATTTGTGTAAGACTTGCCCCAGTGAACATGTAAGGTGTGGGATTCAGGTTGAGTCAAGAAGTCTTGGTAAATTATTTTACACACTTTTCCTAGGCATAGCTTAATAAGTGACTTGATCTAATTTTTACTCTTTATTATTTCAGCCTGGGCTGTGCTCTGAACCAGAAGGGAGTCCATGTGATTCTGTTAGATATCAGCAGCCCTGCTCATACCATTCCAGAAGGAATCAAGTTTATACGCGGAGACATCCGCCACCTCTCTGATATAGAGAAAGCCTTCCAGGATGTGGACATAACTTGTGTGTTCCATATTGCCTCTTATGGTATGTCAGGGCGGGAGCAGCTAAATCGAAAGCTGATCGAAGAAGTCAATGTGGGGGGCACAGACAACATCCTCCAGGCTTGCTGGAGGAGAGGGGTGCCAAGATTAGTTTACACTAGCACTTTCAATGTTGTGTTTGGAGGTCAAGTTATCAAAAATGGAGATGAATCTCTCCCTTACGTACCTCTTCACCTCCATCCTGATCACTACTCTCGGACCAAATCTATTGCAGAGAAGAAGGTGCTAGAAGCCAATGGTACATCCCTGGATAAAAGCAATGGTGTCTTAAGAACTTGTGCTCTGAGGCCAGCTGGCATCTATGGGCCTGGAGAACAAAGGCACCTTCCTAGAATAGTGAGCTATATTGAGAGGGGTCTGTTCAAGTTTGTGTACGGGGATCCCAAGAGCCTGGTTGAATTTGTCCACGTGGATAACTTGGTGCAGGCTCACATTCTGGCCTCAGAGGCCCTGAAAGCTAACAAGGGCTACATTGCCGCTGGGAAGCCCTACTTCATCTCAGATGGCATACCCGTAAACAACTTTGAGTTCTTCCGGCCTTTGGTTGAGGGCCTGGGCTACTCATTCCCATCCATTCGCCTACCCTTGAACCTCATCTACTGTTTTGCTTTCCTATCAGAGATGGCCTACTTTGTTTTGGGTCAACTCTACAACTTCCAGCCCTTCCTCACCCGCACAGAAGTTAATAAAACTGGCATCACACATTACTTTAGCCTAGAGAAGGCCAAGAAGGAGCTAGGTTATGAGCCTCAGCCATTTGACCTCCAGGAAATAGTAGAATGGTTTAAAGCCCGTGGTCATGGCAGAAGTCCTGGGAATCATGACTTTGAGTGTCTTATTTGGGTTGGGCTGTTGGTCTTACTCTTGGTTGTAGCAGTTTCTACATGGCTGTCCTTTGTGGGTTTTTCACTGTGAAGGGTGAGTTAAAAATAAGGAGCTGACCACACTTGCTGAGATGGTTTCACAAAGAAGGAGGACTTCTTAAATATAGATGGATCGGTATAGATATCTGGTGCCAAATTTTGGCTCTTCAAATTGCTACTTAAGGATAGATTATTGGATTAAGTTTTAATTTCTTATCTCCTTGTACTAATCCTGATGGGAGAAAAAAGAAGCAGATAAATTTGAAAATTGTTTTTGTGTGTGTGTGTGTCCTCCCTCTTTAGATAGATGCAGTAGTAGTCATTTTGGAGCCATGGAGCTAAACTTAGTTGGATTAGAAATGCCTTACCTGAATTTGTCAGAAGCCAAAAATGTACTTATTTTCATTCCATACACTCTGATTCTACTTAAAAGGGACTAAAACACACTCTGATACAGGAATGACAAACTGCTAACAGGCTTAAGATGTATGAAAAACACCAAATTGGGCCAGATCCCTACAGACCAATGCTCTGGGGAAATGGTGGGTGTTATAGGGGAGGCATTAGCTATTCATAGCATATGTTTTGGGAATTAGTCTTTGCCTGTTGTGATATAAGCATATTACAGCTGTGTGACCATGTGCTAATGTTTGATGTTTAAACTAATAGACTTTTACCTCACCTCATAAGATTCTTTTGAGGATTAAATTAGACACAGGATGTAAAGTTCCACTCAACAAAGTTAAGCCATTATTTTTAATATTGTTACTATACATTCCTTATGAGGGTTTTCTTACTCAGGTATTCTGTTGAAAAGGTGTTGTTGCTACTAATCTTTCTGGAATGCCCTCAGAGTCTGTAACAAATGTGTTTGAATATACTCACTGTTTGTGATCTTTTAGTCTCTGAGAACAGGTTGAAGTTTAGGAAACAGCTAAAAATCTGATGCTTAAGGAAGATGAGCAAGCTAATGATGCCATTTATAATTAAAAACAAAGCACAACTCTATACTAATAGATTGGTTTTCTTACTGGGGAGAATTCTGATTCTCTGAAGGCAATTTCCAATGAGGAATGTTTTGAACAATGGCGGCATTGTCTAGCCACCCATGAGGACTGCCTTAGAAGATACTCAAGTTGCACCATCGCATAGGAACCACAGTGGAAAGAAGACAGAGCATCTTACCCATTCCATAGTTCCAGCTACAGAAAGGACAGTATTAAAATATTACAAAACATTATAGATTGCTGTGGAAAATAATGTTAGAGTTGTCCTGAGAGTATTTGTAGAAGGAGAATGCTAGATAAACAGTTCCTGGTGAATGCTGCCTGGATGTTTTGGATAAAGTGTTCAACCTCATACCAGAAGGCCTGCAATTATAAATATTTTATGTGGTCTTAACCAAGTAACCGAAGCCTCTTATGCCTTAGTTCCCTCACTTGGGAAATGGGAATGATGTATGATCATTTATAATCAAGTTTATAACCATCTTTCTATAAACCCACCTGCCCATCACATAGGGTTTGTTGTGAACATAAAATAAGATGTGGTGAAAATACTTTTACTGTATAAATTGCAACATAAGTGTGGTAGTAATGGTTGTTTTTGGTGAAATATTTTTGGAATCTTATAAGATGCTTTTGCTTTTTAGTCCCGGGGTAACTTGCATGAGCACCTACAGAATATCTAACACTCTAGGTGCTATGAAGCAGGTTTCTCTGCCCTTCACAGTCTTACAGTCTGGTAATGACATGGCGTGTCCATATGAGAAGGTCACTGATAGACCAGATAAGTACAGTAAAACAGTTGTTCATTGCCATTGAGAGGTATCACAGACTTTCAAAGCATGTTTTTAATGAAGTCTTTCAAAAGATTGATAGATACTTCTCAGTTTTCTCAAGCCAAGTATATTGAGCATAGTGGGGCTTCACTTGTTTTTAAAATGTTTTTTGTTTTTGTTCCCACACTCAATAAATCTAAATGAAATTCAGGATTGATATGTGGACTTTATTGTCATCCAGGTATGAGACATTTGGCCATTTCACATATTTGACATAGTTATCTACTCTATCCTTGAAACATAGTTTATTTACTTTCCATGAACTCACACTCTTCTGGTCTTTCTCCTTGTATTAATGTTCTATTGCTACATAATAAATTACCCTAAGACATATCATCTTAAAGCAACAAACAGTGCCTCCTAGTTTCTGTGGGTCCGGTATTTGGGTATGCCAACTCTTGCTCAGAATCTCTCATGAGGGTAATCTTATGGTGTTGGCTGGCACTGCAGTCATCTGCAAGATTGACTAAACCTAGAGAATCCACTTCCAGAATGGTCCATCCACGTGACTGTAGGCAGGAAACCTCAGTTCCACACCATGTGGGCATCTTTATAAGATTGCTTGAATGTCCTCATGACATGGCAACTGGTTTCCCTCAGAGCAGGTAATCCAAGAGAGCAAGGTAGGAGCTGCAATGTCTTTCATGACTTAACCCTGAAAAATCACACACAGTCACTCCCCAGTCACTGCTTACATAGATCAATACTATTCAGTGTGGGAGGGAATTACCCAGTGGTGTAATAGCAGAAGATGGGGAACATTGAGGGCCACCTTAGAGTCTGGGCTCTGGCGCCACCCTCTGAGTCATCTTTTTCTCTGAAAGGTACTCCATATTTACAGCTACATAGTTTTCTCATTTTGCTTCCACCCAGGAGAAGTTAGGGGTGAGGGGGTCCAAAAGCCTCTTTAGATTTTATGCTGAATCTCTTTCACTTCAACGTGGTAGTGTTACTGTGAATAAAATTATTTTGAACTGTTTCCCCCTGAGTCTTATTTGCAGTTGACTCCAATATAAAAAAGCTATGCCCACAAATTTCTTTGAGATAAGTCCTCTATTTTGGGCTTCTGCTCCTTAAGATTCTTATTGTCAGTACAGCTCTCTGAGGCACCACTACATGTCTCTCTGAGGTCTCAAAGGTTTTATGCCCATAACCTTGGCCATGCACCGTCATTTCTACAATATATTAGCTACATAGGTTACATTAGCTCAACTCCATGTGAGAGGAGACCACACAAGGACATGAATACCAGATGAGGATCATTGGAGTCTGCTACCACACCTGCATCTCACCAGTTTTCTCCTCCACTCCCATTTAAAATGGTAGATTTCTTCAGTGTTCAGAGCTAGGTCCTCTTTTAATACAATACTAATAATGTTTCCCTAAGTGATCTTGTCCAAATCCCTGACTTTAATTTCTATCTCTGTTCTAAATATATAGTTCTAACTTTATAGTTCCAGCCCAGACCATTCTTCTGAGCGCCAGACCCATCTATCCACCTACCTCTGCATCTGCACCTGGGCATTTCATATGTACCTTTCAGTCAGTATCCAAAATGGAATTCACAATCCCTCCAAATTCTTACAGGCTTGCTTTCCCTGGTAAATGTCACCATTATCTATTGAATTTCTCATGCCAGAAATCAGGGGTAGTCTTGATCCCTGCCTCCCGTTAACTTGGCACACTTAACCCATCTTTAAGCCCATTGATTCTACCTTCTGCTCATGCTCAAAACTGCCCAGTAGACAGATGTCATCTCTCTCCCCTATACTCCAACAATAACCTCCTTTCTCTTCCACCTACATCCATTCCTCCCTCCCTTCAATCCATTCTCCATATGCCAGGCAAAGGGATGCTATAAAGATGTAAATCTAAAAAAAAAAAAAGATGTAAATCTGTTACTTCCCTGCTCAAAACTCCATGGTGCAGGTTCAATATCTTTATTGTGACCCAAAAGGCCTTGTGTGATCTGGCTCCTACCTACTGCTCCATACTCGTCTCACACCATACTTCTCTGCCCTCACTGCATCCTTTTCTGTACGGTTGTGAGTTCCAAGTTCCTCCCTCATGCCCCCACTCTTTTTTTGACTGCATAATGTTTATTTCATGCCTCAGCTTAAGTCTCTTCTTCCAGAGGCCTTCCATGATTGCAACAAGTTAGGTCTGGTCCTGCTACAGGCTCTTATAGCACCTTGCTTATCTCCTGTAGTTTTTATCACAACTGTAATAGTTTGTAATTATTTGTCTAATGTTTGTAAGTTCCATGAGGTCAGGACCATTGTCTTGCTTACTACTGTATCCCTAGTGTCTAGCACAAAACAGGAGTTCAATAAGTATTTCTTGAATGAATGCTATTTTCACCCTTTTGGCACATATACATAATTTACTCTTTCTAATCTGTTGAAGACTGGGAAAAATAGCCAATCTATTATGATTGTTTGTAAACTAAATCAAGACTAGATAAGATCTAGTAAATACGTGAGGTCATTCAGCATGTGATATGGTGGAGCTTTTAAATGCTGAGAGATATTTAGAGAAGGGGGAGGAATGTGGAAAGTTATTTGTGCTCACTCCAAATCTCAGCTGAAAACTGACCACTTGAAAGAACTCAATTTATTACCTGAAAGGTAACTCCCTTCCTAAGGTCAGGAGATAATGAATTCCATTAGTTCTAGGGTTCCCAGCTGCACTCACCTTCCCTCAATCTTTGATTGAATCCCCCAAATGCATAAAGCTAGGGAACAATGTTCACACTTGTGCATGTGAGGCACTGCTATTTACCTGGGCATAAGCCATTCAGCACTGCCACCAAGGTGACACTTCCAAGGAGTAGGTGGCCAGTTATCCATTAGCCTGTTGGAAGATCACATTGGACAAAGAGCCCTGTAGTAGAACCCAACGGTAATGCAAAAACTATTCATGTCTGGAGGCCAAATGACTAATGCTGGCATCATATTACCGAGGCTATAGTATTTCTCAAGCCTGCAGCATAGGCCAGGGATTCTTTGCAAGAAAAGGTTTTATTTTCCTTAATCACCTAACATGGTAATTATGAGAAAGCCAATACTGCTTTGTCATAGTTTCAATAAGTTTATTAACAATTGTAGGGGTGTCCCCTGCTTTCTGTTCCTTCCCAAATCCCTACCAGTTCAGGGAGCCTTACAGCAGGTTAGAAATAGCCTGTAGAATTCAACTCTCAGTACGACCCAGCTGTGAACCCTAGGGCTAATGGCCTGGCCCCCTTGTTTGCTGGCCTTGGCAGCCAACACTAGCAGTTCGTGTCTTATTAAAATTGTCACTGTTTGCTAGCATCCCTTTACTTTAGAGCAGTGGTTCTCAACCTTGGCTGCACATTAGAATCACCTGGGAATCTTTTTAAAATCCTGATTTCTAGGCCTCATCCTCCGGAAATTCTGTTTCTTTGTTATGGCGTGGGGCCACAACATTAGTAAC